AACCCTAAACCCTAAACCTTGAGAGAGAGAGAGAGAGATAACCTTATTTACTAAGTCCCAGATCTCTCCAAGATACAAGATATCAAGCACACTTCAGGTCGCCAAGAACCAGCCGAAGCTGTTCTTGTGGATTTTGCAAGGCCTCGCCAAGAAGGCACCGAAGGCTTCTGGGCTGCAAGGGGTCTTGGAGTCCTTGCCTAAACCAAGAATTCAGTCCCTGAGCTTCAACCCGAAGCATTCAACTTTAAGGTTCAAACCCTCGAACCCTAAATCCTGACCGTTGAACCCGTTCTCTAGTTCATCGGCCACTCTTCTGCTTCATTGCCCGCTCCGAGTTTCCAAGGCCGGGTTGGAGGCAGTGGCCAGGATCCCCAATCTTGGTGGTGCAGACCGGAAGCTATGGGGGGCGGTCTTGGGCACGTGTGCTCGCACCTTGGGGCACAGGCAGCGCTTTGAGGCTGGGGGGGCTTGATAGAGATTTCTAAGATTTAGGGGTAGCCCTAAACCCTAAACCCTAAACCCTAAACCCTAAACCCTGAACCCTAAACCCTAATGAGAGTTTAGAACGTTTTGATGGTGGATTTAGGCCAGGCAGGCGAAGTGTCCGTTTAGGATTTGGGGTTTTTGCCCAAACATCCAAGGCTTGGGAGATTCGTGGTCACTGGCTCTTGAAGTTGCAGTCAAGCTGATCGAAGAGGCAACCGAAAAATGCTGGGGTTTTCATAGAAGCCAAAAATCTTGTAGAAATAAAGTTTTACAGCTATTCAGGCCGAAAGCGTCGGATCCGGGGCTGGAACCTGCTCCCCTCTTCTGGGCGCTGAACTTTGTTGTGAATTTTCCGCCTCAAAGCAAACTGGCCGGAACCCCCATAAGCCTTGCCCAACCTTGCCCAACCTTCTTGTCTTAAGCCCTTTGGGAAGTATGTCGCTTTAGGTCGGTTCTGGAGCTTTCGACGTTTTGTGAGTGGTTAACTATTAGTGGTTAGCGGCCAGTGGCTACTTTTTAGCCGTTAATGGTTAGTCGTATGTCGTTAGTATTTAGTAGGTGGTAGTCAGTGAAAAGTCGTTAGTGGTGGTTAGTACTTAGGAATTAAATTTAAGTCGTTAGTAGTGATTAGTGAGTAGGTAGTAGCTAGTAGGTAATACTTAGTAGTGAGTAGTCAGTACTGAGTAGTCAGTAGTTAGTAGTTAATAGTTAGTAGTTAGTAGTTAGTAGTTAGTAGTTAATAGTAAGTAGTTAGTAGTTAGTAGTTGGTAGTTAGTAGTTAGTAGTTAGTAGGTAGTAGGTAGTAGTTAGTAGGTAGTAGTTAGTCGTAGGTTAGCAGCTAGCTATCAGTTAGTAGATAGCATGTTGTATTAGGTAGCAAGAAGCAGTTAGTAACTAGTAATTAGTAAGCATGCATGCCAGTACCAAGTAGCAAGTAGTAGGTCGTACGTAGCAAGCAGTAATTACCAAGTAGCATGTAGCAAGCAAAAAGCAGCAAGCAGTAGGTAGTGGCCAGTGGTTAGTAAGCAGTAAGCAGCAAACTCCACCACCGTGGCATCTCTTCTCGAGGGGTCTCGCCCGGCGGGCTTCGCACGTGCCAGGATCAGTCTAATGCCTGGGAACGAGCAGCAGGCTTCATGAGGAGATCTGCCCGCTCCGTGACTCTGGTCAAACCTTAGGTTTTTCGGACTTTGTGTCGTCTGGTTTTTGGTGTCCAGGGTTGAGGAAATTTTCGGTTTTCAGACTTTGGATTTTGGGGTTAGGGGTTCCAGGGTTTAGAGTTGAACCCTAGCCTAAACCCTAAACCCTAAACATATCGGAACTCTACAGAATCACCAAGGCTCTTGATTTGGAGACCCACATCCTCCGGATGAGCCGTAAGCGTCCCGAGGGGCCGATACCATCTCTTCTCATAAGAAGGTGCCCCAAAGGTCCCAGGAAATCTTTCTACAAGCCATATGAAAGTTCTACTACGGCCCCTTATAAATGCTTCTGCTGAAGCATAGTGCAGCTCGTTCTGGGGCCTTCGTTCGTGCTCCGTGCTGGGGATGTTTGGCCTCCGACAGAGTCGGCAACAGTCTGGTATGGATGAAAAACCCTACACCCTAAACCCTAAGCCTACTCAAGTCTTACGAAAACCCTACACCCTAAACCCTAAACCTATTCAAGTCTGACGAAAACCCTACTCCCTAAACCTACTCAAGTCTGACGAAAACCTTACACCCTAAACCCTAATCCTACTCAGATCTGATGAAAACCCTACACCCTAAACCCTAAACCTACTCAAGTCTGACGAAAACCCTACACCCTGCACCCTAAACCTACTCAAGTGTGACGAACACCCAGGATCCGGCTCCCCTCTTCCGGGCGCTGAAGCCAGAGAGGTGTCTCTCGCAGGAGAAGCTGTGCAGTCAAGCTTCCAGGGCCTGCCCAAGCCCCTGCCATCGCCCTAAGTCTTAAACCTTAGCCAACCAACAACCCTAAACCCCAAAACCCCAAAACCATAAACCTCAAACCCCGAACAACAACACCCACACAAAAAGCCCTACGCCCGAAACCCTAAACCCTAAACCCTAAACCCTAAGCCCGAAACCCTAAACCCTAAACCCGAAACCCAAGCAGGAGCAGCTGGGAGCCCTCTTCGCCCGACTGGGCCTTCGCTCCCTCGCAGAGTCGAAGACTTGCCTCAAGGACCTCCGGCCTTGGCCCCTCGAAAAGGTACCCTATTAACACGGTTTAGGGTGTAGGGATTGGGGTTCAGGGTTTAGGGTTCAGGGATTAGAGTTTAGGGTTCAGGGTTTAGGGTTCAGGGATTAGAGTTTAGGGTTCAGGGATTAGGGTTTAGGGTTCAGGGATTAGGGTTTAGGGTTCAGGGATTAGGGTTAAGGGTTTAGGGTTTAGGGTTTAGGATTCAGGGATTAGGGTTTAGGATTCAAGGATTAGGGTTAAGGGTTTCGGGTTTAGGGTTCAGGGTTTAGGGTTTAGGGTTTAACATACTTATAGGTTTAGGGTTTAGGGTTTAACCAACGTATATCACGATAGCATTAATTTATGGTAATGGTTCTAATACTTACAGCTTATTACTAGAACATTAATTCGAGTAATCACTGCAAAGTGTTGTTTTCATGACTAATTCTTATAACGGATTGGGCTTTTAAGTGAAGTGGTTCAGGGTTTAAGCAGGGTTGATGGTTTAAAGACAGTTATAGGAGCCTTATAGAAGGTCTATATACCTTATAGGAGCCTCATAGAAGGCCTATGTACCCTAAACTCCCCACCTGTAGTTTCCTTTAGTTTAGGGTGTGGCGGTTGCGGTTTGCCCGTTGGGGGCCCGAGCCCCGACGTGAGAAGCTGCAAGGTTTGGGGGTTTAAGGGTCTAGGGTCTTAGGGTCTTAGGGTGTTAGGGTTTAGGTTTAAGGGTCTAGGGTCTTAGAGTCTTAGGGTTTAGGGTTTAGGGTCTTAGGGTTTAAGGTCTTGGGGTCTTAGGGTTTGGGGTTTAGGGTTTAGGGTTTGACTCAGGAATCAGGATAGCGACGTGGAGGAGGCGCTGTCGACACTGGTGGCATCCACGCCTCAAGCGCAGCTACGGAGCACCCTTGCTGCCGACATCTCGGGCCTCGCCCAGTGGACCCCGCAAGCCAGGCATCCAAAGTGTTTTCAAGCTTGACTTGGGGTTTGGGGTTTGGGGTTTGGTTTAGGGGTTTAGAGTTTAGGGGTTTAGGGTTTAGGGGGGTTTAGGGTTTAGGGTTTCGGGTTTAGGACGTTCATGGGTAGTCATCCGTGGGGTTACAAGTAGGGTAACTATATTTCTAAAAAAATATTAGGGGACTTAGAACCCTTGCATGAATTCCAAGTAGGCACACGAAAAGTCCTGAACCCAGAACCTCGCAGCGTACGCAGTGATTCGTTTCAAGGTCATCAGTTGGTTTACCAGCTTGGGGATATATATATATATATATATATCATATAATATCATAACATCCAATACCACTTTGTTGTAGGATCTATGTTTAAGGTACTAGTTATAGTATCGTTTCCTGCAGGCTGCTCCTGGCACAGAGGCTCACGCAGGACAAGCCCCCGGAAGTTCCGGGTGGGGCTGCACACTACACTTTTCTGGAGGCGTTGGCGTGGCAGCCTTATGCCGATGTCGAGGCCTCTTTTTGGGTTTAGGGTTTAGTGCTTTGGGTTTTTAGGGACCTTTTTTCCCTAGACTTTAAACCCTAAACCCTAAACCCTAAACCGGGTTTAGGCTTGAGGGTTTGAGAGGCCGAGATCAAGAAGCGCTGCAGCAGCTCGAGCCCCGACGCGCGGGAAGCCGGGCTCGGCGCCCTTCTCCGCTGCGCCAGCAGGGAAGGGCCCCTTAGTTCCCCAATACCCAACCTTTAGGGTTTAGGGTTCAGGGTTTAGGGTTTAGGGTTTGGGGTTTAGGGTTTGGGGTTTAGGGCTTGGGGTTTAGGGTTTAGGGTTGGTTCTTATAATTTAACCTTTTATCTCCCTGGCTTATTGGGGAAGTAAGGCCCGTGGCAGTAGCAGACGCCTTGAGCTTCTTCGAAGTACGGCTCCGGAACGACCAGGACAGTGTACGTGCAGCGGTGCTTCGGGAGATGGCGGAAGCACCGGTGCTTCTCTGGCAAGACGTGCACCTAACTTCCCTGAGACGGTTGCTCACGTCCTCCATGCAGGCCAAAGGCAGTAGCTCGGAGTCTCTGTTGGTCTGGCAGAAGTTGGTGGAGGTTTTCGTGGCCAACGGTGCGGCCTTGCGCACTGAAGTCGGGCTTGGCCCATGTGGAGCCTTTGGAATGGAAGTGAGGTCGCAGTTGACCGCGGCCGATCTTTGGGACCAGGACGATGCAGCCTTTTCAACCAGTGTCCTCAGTCGCGTAGCACGGCTAGAGCCGCAACCGGCCTTCCTCGCTTTTCCGTGGCTTGTGGACTTGCTGCGCCCCCGCATCCGGGCTTTGCTGGACTCGGGAAAGGTGGATGAGGCCGGCCCTCACCTTCGTTTTCAGCCGTTTTGTCAATTCGGCAAACTGGAAACCGGTGTTGTGCTGTGAGGACTGCGAGCGTAAGTGCTGAACCCGACTGCAAGCTTTGTTGCCCGGTGTGTGCGGCAGGGTCACCGCACACGCCTCAGCCCTAAGCTTCCGTCCGCCCACAGAGCCCAATATACCCCTCAAAGTAAATAAAAATATATATATATATATATATCTGTATATATACCTATATATATATATATATATCTCTCTCTCGCTCTATATATATATATATCTCTCTCTCTCTCTCTCTATCTCTCTCTCTATCCTTCCTAACTCGCAGTCTCTGCTTTGTCATGTTCCTTAGTCGAGGGGCTTCTCGGGCTCTCCGGGCAGGCGTGCGCGCTGCTGGCGCGCTGGGAAGGCACGCGCCACCAGCTCCTCCAGCGGCTGCCCCGTGACGGCGACGTCCCCGACGCCTGTGCCCGGGCTGTCAAAAGCCTTCCCCAAGAAATCCCTTAGAGAGGGAAGTGTACCTTTTAATATATAGTAGGGTCCTAGACCCTAAACCCTAAACCCTAAACCCTAAACCCTAAACCCTAAACCCAGACCGTAAACCCAAACCCATATTGCTTCAAGGCATATGCCTTAACGTTCCTGAACAAAGGGATCTTGGAAGGTCTGGGAACTCTAGCTGTGGATCCCAAATCCGACCCGTTGTCAGCAGGAGCCCTGGCAGAACCCCACTTAAAGGATCATGGGACTTAGTAAGTAGGGTTATAACTAAGGTAACTATATTTAAAATTACTTATAACCCCAATTAAGGGGCTTATACTAAGTTCCATGATCCTCCCAGCAGGGTTTAGCAGTTCGAGGTGCAGCCTTCGACGTGTTGCTGCGTGAGACCTTCGCGACTGCCATCCAGGCCTGTGGAGGGAAGCTCAGGGGCCATAGGTTTAGGGCTTGACGGGGGTCGGGTTCCCTAAACCCTAAACCCTAAACCCTAAACCTCTAAACCCTAAACCTCTAAACCCTAAACCTCTAAACCCTAAACCCCTAAACCCTAAACCCCCCAGAGCTTCGTGTGTTAGGGTCTGCGGTCCTTTTGGCGTTGTTTTCGGCCATGCTGTCAGATGGCTACTTCAGGCTTTAGAAGCACAGTAGCCCGTACCGCAATGTGTATCCCAGCTTCGTAAGCCCCCTTTCCTTGAGCTCCTTAGTTTAGGGTTTAGGGTTTAGGGTTACAGCCCGTCGGTTGCAATGGAACCCGAATATGGACCTGAAAAGGACCCTACAGGGAAACTAGGTCTGTTGGGTTGAGGTATATATCAAACCACTTAAGCATCACTAAAACCAGAAACCTAGTACCATGTAATACCCGATATGCCAATTTCTAAAGCCCAAGCTCCCTAAACCCTAAACACCGAAAAACCATAAACCCTGAGCCGTAAACCCTTAAAAACCCTAAACCCTAAACCCTTAAAAACCCCCTGAAATCAAACCTTTCACCAGGAGAGCCGCAGCTTCAACGCCTCGGCGGCCAAGGCGGCCCAGGAGGCTCTTCGGTCTTTGCTCCTGGTCGAGGGATGGATTTAGGGTTTCGGGTTTAGGGTTTAAGGATTAGGGTTTAGGGTTTAGGGGATGGGTCGGCTAATGTAGGGGCCTTCAACTACCTATATTATTTTGGGGGGTTCCTTTTTATAATTGTAGTATAATGGGAGGGATGGTTTAGGATGATTTACGCTCAGGGTTTTGGGTTCAGGGTGTGGGGCTATGGTTTAGGCTTGTTGTAAAGCGCCTAGAAGGGTCTTGTTAGTGTTTGTTGTATTGGGTTTCTGTGGGGGCTTGATAGAGTTGGGGCTCTGCGCTTATTTTGTTGGACTAAGCAGCTGAAAATTAAGTGCAGATTAAGTGTAGACCCTACACCCTGAACCCTAAATCCTAAACTGTAGATGGATTAGTGACGAAGTGGGCACTGAGGCTCCTGCCGAGCTACACCCACCTGAAAAACTCCAATGGCCTGACGTGGGCGCAGGAGCCCCCTTTTTAGGGAGCTGGTGTGGATTGCTTAGGGTTTAGTGTTTATATGGTTTAGGGTTTAGGGTTTAGGGTAATTAAGGTGTCAGTCTCGGGCTTGAGAATCTGAAAGAGCCCTGCTTGGAGGATCATGGGACTTAGTAAGTAAGGCTATAAGTCCCTTAATTGGGGGTTATAAGTATAGTTACCCTAATTACAACCCTACTTACGAAGTCCCATGATCCCTTAAGTGCGCCTTCGAAGGAACCCTAAACCCTAAACCCTAAACCCTAAACCGTAGTAAGGTGTCAGTCTCGGGCTTTAGAATCTGAAAGAGCCCTGGCCCTGCGCCTTCGAAGGAGCAGGCGCTGCGGCGCCTTTGCCAACTCAGCTGCTCCTGGTGGCAGAGCTTCCTTGGCCGCATCGGCTCGGAGCTTCCCTGGCACACCACGCTGGCCTTGGCCTTTCTTGGGTCTTCGGAGGCTCTTTTGGGGGTTCCTTGTTATAGACAGAGTATAGTAGGCTATTTTGGGGGGTCCGTATTATAGATCTAGTATTATATACCCCCAAACCCTAAGCGAATTATTAAGGCCCCTCTATTCGGGGTTCCTTATCATAATTCTAGTATAACATACCCCAAACCCTATTCTACTTATTAAGGCCCCCGTAGTAGGATAGAGGATCATGGGACTTAGTAAGTAAGGTTACAAGTCCCCTAATCGGGGTTATAAGTATAGTTACCCTAATTAGAACACTACTTACTAAGTCCCATGATCCCTAAACCCTAAACCCTAAACCCTAAACCCCAAACCCTAAACCCTAAACCCTTACTTACTAAGTCCCATGATCCTTTAAGTAGAGGATCTTTCTTCGGAGGCTCGGCAGCTGCAGCGGCGGAAGGGCGCCCTCTTCGATGAGCTGGTGCAGGCACCTTTAAAGGATCTCAGGGTATGGCCTGGCAGCCTTCGCAGAGTCATAAGGGTTTAGGGCTTAGGGTTTAGGGTTTAGGGTTTTAGGGGTTTAGGGTTTCGGGGTTTAGGGTTTCGGGGTTTAGGGTTTAGGGTTTAGGGATGACAAAACGCGGTGTAGTATCGCGAAGTAGTTACCCGTAGCTGACTCGCTTTGCTCGAGGCGCTCTGCACAAACTGGGACATGCTGGCGGAGTGGCAGAGGGCTCCATTCGCCGCGGCAGCAGTGCAGCACCTGGGCAGTGCATGTCGATCCATGGAGACCTGCTTGCTCTTGGCACCTCTGCTGCGCCGACTCAGCGACTGGAAGTTCTCGCTGGCAGTCACTGGTGAGCAGGGCACGGAGAAGTTTCGGCAGAGCCTAAGTGAAGTCGGATACAAGATTCGGCTGCGGTGCCAGGCAGAGGCCACCAGGTTGCAGGGACAAGCTTTTTCTCCCCAGTCCTTGATGTTAGCACCCCTCTCGAGCCTGAAGCCCTGAACCCCGGGCCCTAAACCCTAAACCCTAAACCCTAAACCCCCAAACCCCTAAAACCCTAAACCCCCAAACCCCCCAAAACCCTCAAAACCCCTACAACCCTAAACCCTAAACCCTCAAAGCCGCGGGCACTCAGGAGCTGCTAGCGCTTCATAAGCCTCTCAAGGCGTCCTTCCTGGAGGCCTGGGGGCACCAGGACGCCTCGCTCCAAGCCGAGCGGCTCCGCACCTCCACCGTGCTCCTCAGGGCCGTGTGGCTCGGGCCGCGCCTAAACCCTAAACCCTAAACCCTAAACCCCAAACCCTAAACCCTAAACCCTAAACCCTAAACTCTAAACCCTAAACCCTAAAGCCTAAACTCTAAACCCTAAACCTAAACCCTCAGAATGATCCCGGGATCCCTCACCTCAACTTAAAACTTAGGGAAGGCAGAGCTGTCATTCCTCCAGGCATATCTCAGCCTCACTGCAAAGCCCAAGATCTCAACATGACATCCACCCTACTGTCTGGTGCTTAGTAGGGAATGGGGGAAAGGATCCCTATGATGCCTATGATTTTCCCTTAAGGTCCCTTATAGCAGTCCCTATGACCCATTCCCCCATTCCCTACTGAGCACCAGACAGACTGCTACAGTTGGAGTCTCCACTTTTTGCCCAGTCCTCGACCTCTGAACCCGGGCTCGGGGTTCGGGCTGCCGTTCAGCAGGGCCCTAAACTGTCTTAGTAGGGAATGGGGCATGGGTTATAAGGGACTACTATAAGGGACCTTAA